TAGCTCAAAGATCTCCTGCAGTGTCTAGAATTTTTCATGCACTTTTACCTGGGCCATTGATAGTATATATAATGGACAGAGCTTCTGGGTCTGTGACGAAACCGATTCAGAAGTGTCTTAAAACCTGCATTCTATCTAATGGCCAGCAGGGTGAGCTCCATTGGCTGCAATAAAAAACGATACCATGGACTCTTATACAAAATGACCGGACTTCTCCCCTGATTTATTTGCTCAGTAAACAGTTTCCTGTTGAGTCTCTAGTTCCATGTCTTCGTCCATACAGCATGTTCATTTAGTAAATGATGGTCCCATTTAGAATAAAATATGCTATGCTTGGGTGTGGCTACCTTGTGATTGACAGGTCATTCTCAGTGAGTCCAGTCAGCTCAATGCACCAAACTCAGATCAAGCTGTTAAACTAGGCAGTGCTGATCAGATATGAATCCAGATTCTGTTACTGCACTGATTTCTCTCCTAAAATCCTTTCATGAAAATATTTTGGTTGACTGTTTAGCTGTAATATGAGATTGTGTGTTACCAGGTGAGCTGCCATTGTTTCCCGTTACGGACTAGTCGAAACTGTGCAGCCAATGAGCAGTGCGTCACCTCCACTGGCTCCATCTAACTGTCATGGTGACGACCATAATGCCGAACTTGAGGCTTCAAAACTCCACAAACCAATGGGTGACATCACGATAGGTTCATACTGTGCTGGCTCATTTTGGCCAGGATGAAGATAAATATTAGCTGGCACGGTGTATGTCATTCCTCCATGCATTGTCCATTATGTTGGACTAATGCTACATCTATAATACGCCATCAATGCATGCTGGCATGGCACTCCTGATCCCTTACAAACATTGTAAGGACACAGTGGGAACGCAATTTTTTTAACAGAATAATAACTCATAGAGCTTTTTTTTTAACTGCCCATACCTCTTTTTCAATTACATGAAAACAGCTAATTTAATATCAGGCTGACTACATACTGTATAGATGGATTACAAAATGAATTTGTTCCCAGAAACAACAAGTTGAATTCCTTAATCCTTAAGTCAGTTCCAATTTATGTTTCTAAAAAAAACATCATTTTCTGCATTTAATCATCCTTTAGAATGGGAAATTACATCTCTCTACAATGGACACATTTTTTCCTTAAGATCGAGGATTGGACAATCTTGATCCTTATTCCATGACATGATTGTGTATTTGGTCCATCAAGCACAAAAGATGCATTCAAGAAACTTAAAGTCAGTCTATTTTTTTAAATTCAATGCAGTATCATGACTCACAAAAACTATAAAACCTGCGACAATAGATTTTCTTGGCCACTTGGGGGCAGCAGAAACTGTCTGAATACAACATTGACATATTGTCACCTTATTATGAACTTGAATGTAAAGATACATGGTCAATTGTCATGTACAGGTTTTCTGCAGAAGTCACAATGTGCATCCTTCAGTTTAACTTATGCACCTTTTGTGAACTGCATGCATTTATGTTGATATGGCAAACTTTTTTGCATAAGGTTTCCTATTTACACATTGAGCAGGCACAACAACATTAGCATTCATTTGGAGTTGGGTTTCTGGCCAGCTGATACATTTCAATTCAATTCAATTCAATTTTATATGTATAGCGTCAATTCATAACAGAAGTTATCTCAGGGGGTGCCGGGTTCACTCAGTGGGTAGAGCTGTAGACCCATGTACCTGAGTCCTTGCTGCAGCGGCCCAGGGTTTGAATCTGACCTGCAGCCCTTTGCTGCGTGTCATCCCCTCTCTCTGTCTATCTTCAGCTGTCTCTATCATAAAGGCAATAAAAAGCCCCCAAAAATACTTAACAAAAAAATAAATAAAAAATCTCAGGACACTTTTCAAATAGAGCAGGTCTAGTCCAAACTCCTTATAACATTATACATTTAAGTCCAATATTCACTCTCCTCTTAGGCCTCTTTTTCTCTACTTATCCCTGAGAAAAATATGAATCCTTAGTGGGCATTGAGACATGATGTACAATCCAGGATGCAAATTTTAAGTCTAAGGTCCCAGATCCTCCACTATATTCACCAGGTATGAAGACAACTGAAAATGCTACGGGAAATGAAAACAATGAGCTGAAAGAAGCTAGTTGGAGGAGAGCTAGCTCTCTAGCCATAGAGCTTAAGAGAACTGCAGAGTCGGATGATGATTCTCTGCACTTATCAGTATGAGTAACATTTTTCACATTCAAAAGATTCATCGTCATTCTAAAAATATGGATAATAGGCTTTAAATATCCAGGTAACACACTTCTCAGTGATAAACTGTGAATCACAAAAAATATAGATGTCCCTCTGCAATTCAACAGAGCAAAGATGAATTAAAACATTATCAGTAGGTTCCTGTATGGCACGCAGACACTATATATATATATATATGAATGTTTGTCCATCCAGTAATCCTGCAGCTTTTCTCCTCTTTAAAGCATTACACAAAAAGACCCTGCAGCTTCAAATAGAAAAATACATTTCTTCTAGACATGCTTTTGACCAGCAATGAGTTAAAAGACTTAAAACCAAAATAAACAAAATATTATAACTTTATATATTTATAATATAATATTTTCTTTTTCCATTTTTGCAGTGGAAACTGAGTATGCTTCAAAAGCATTTCCTGCATTTCTTCTACACACTGCCGTGCTGCAGCTCCATAGACTAATGGAATACTAATTAGAGAATATTATGAGGGATTTCTGAACAACATGGATCATGTGAAAAACGATAAATGGGACTTATTTATTAAATTCTACAATAAAGATGTGAGCTCCTAAGTTAACTACACTTGGGTGCTACTAAAGACTTGAGCCTTAATTCAAGTAGCCGATGAGGTTCTGTGTCTATGGGCGATCCACAGAAATCAATGCTCAGAGTGACGGGTGATCAATTAGTCCCCAAACGCGGATCCTGGGGGACACTGGCTCTGTTGGATCTCTAAGCAGCTGAGTGCTCTGATTAAAATGTGACAGATTTAGAATGTGCCAAACTCAGCCTGATTAATGACTGTTCACACACACAAACACACACACACACACACACACACACACACACACACACACACACACACACACACACACACAATAACTGTAGCAGCGATCATTGGGAGGAGCACCATAGTTTCAGTGACAGATGAGATATTTGTTTTAGTTTAAAGATGCCCACAAATGACCTCATATTGATGTCATTATTGCACTTTATGTCCTTCTCATACAGTTTTGACAGATGTTCTTTCAGCATACTGTTTATAATGTGCTTGCCAGCATTGGCTGTTCTTTAATGCAGTGCAAAATAGCAAATATGTTCAGGTCCAGGACAATCCAGAATAGGCCACTTGGTTATTATTTTGTTTGTGTTTAGATAAAAGGGTGTGCCTCAGGTTTTAGCTAACACTGTTTGTGCATCCCTTAAATGTATCTAATGGGTATAATAGGGCATAATTATCAATAAAGACTATAACTGACAATGAATTTTGTTTAGCTCCAGACTTATATTCATATATATATTTATATATGACCAATGTTTATTCAAGTGGCTCAGCATTTCTATTCTCTGGAGAGTAGAGTCCTCTAGAGAGGTCTTTTAATTGGATTTGCTGATAATAATAAAAAACAATAATACACCCGCAGCCAATACGATTAAGGATAATTCTGGTATTTTTAAACCTGGGCCATGTTTTTACACGTTTTGGGTTGGCTAGAATGGCTACAACATAATCCTTGGGGATAAATGCGTCAAAGTACATCAATTGACTGAGGCTCAGACTGTTATTTTCTCTCATGAACTATTCTGAAAAATATACATGGATTTCATTTAGATAGTACCTAATTCAAAATATCAAATAGAAGCACATTATGCATATGTGACTCGCATGGAGGAGAGGCAGTGGGGGTGGCATCCCTGCTGATAACATGGAAAGAGAGATCCAGAGATAGATCTTGTTGTTAAAGATGAAGATTCTTTGATTTTGTTTGTAACTAGAAGCATTATATCTCTCAGTTCACAGCCACCACACTACATTCAAAAAACTAATTTTGCCTCACAGAACATGGTCCACCGCTGACAGCACATATTGAGGCGTGAATTGAGGTCATCATCATCATCTATACCGTCATCATCATCAACACTGCTGAGTGCTTACACCAAACATAAGCTCAGCTTTGGTCGCAGACCATGGAACCTCCACCTTGTGTCAGAATACCCCACAAACACTTGACAAACATCTGCCCAGATGTCATCCTGACAACAGCCATGAAGCTGCAGATGGTAAAGCAGCACTCAGGCAGCAGTTGTTAAGCTGAGCATCTCCCATCTCTTATCTCATCAGCCATGGGAACCTGTAGCTTCTTCATAGTGACCACAGACCTCTTGGTGGCCTCCTTTACTAGTGCCCTTCTCTCACGTGGTGGACTGAACTTGGAAGATGTCTGTTTGTTTGTTTGTTTGTTTGTTTAAATTGGCCTTACTGTCAATTTTGGATGATTTAGTTGTTTCATGTTTATACTTAACTTAGATAAATTTTTTGTTGCTCGTGTCCCAAAATCCTAAATATATCAGATGTGATTCACAGCTCTAAAACAGTTAGGGTGAATACTTTTTATAGATGTGTGGGGGATGTCCGCATTCACATGTCCAGAAACAGCAATATGACTCATTTGGTACTGTGTGTATGAGAGGTTCTCTTCCAAAAAAGATGAAGCCGTGGTCATACTCTAAATGTATTTAATTTGTTTGTCATTTAATATATGTGCAGCTTGATGTGGCCAATTTGTTCAGACTCGCCATTATTCAGCGGGGGTGTATTTCATTCTTTTGCTTGAATTTTCATCAGCCCTTATGTTCACTGACAACAGGAACTAAAAACGAGCCTAACACGTGTCAGATGATATTGAAAATATGAAGGCTGCTCCACAGCGGAGAGCTGGGGACGAGGAGCTCTGTGCCTATTGGTCTCATGGAAATGTGGTGAGGAGAGCGGGGCTATAAAAGCAGCCTGTGTGAGAGCGCAGCGGCTCGGAGAGAGAGGACTGTAGCAGGCGGCCGGAGCGCAGCACACATACCTGGGAACCACACACAGACCCGCACAGCGCAGCCATGAGTGAGGTAGGTGCTTCTTAGCAGGCTGCAGACCGTCTTTTCTTCCTTCATGCCATCCCTCAGCATCCTTTTTAAAAGACAACTCTCACGTTTCAGCACTTCCTGTGAAGTTAAAACAGAAACTGGAGACATTTCCGACGCACAAGTGTAATGTTGGAGCAGAGCGTCGCGCTTTGTTCAACAACCGGAACTTTTACTATCTTAGTCTGTGGCTTTTCAGGCTTGTATATAGTCGTGAAATGTAATATTGCATGAGCAAACGACTGTAGTAAAGAATGAGTCGTGGTTATGTGTTAAGAAAGAAGTTTGCTTTTAAATTCTCCAAAATATAGGCTACCGGCAGCCTTCAGTGTAATTGATAATTATAATAACAGCAACAATCACCTTAATAATAACAATTAACGTGATCTTTTTTAAATTCTAGGATTCTAATCTTTATTATAGATACTTTTGAAATATATATGTATTTTTCCTGCACATCGCATTGGACCGCAAAATCCAACCTGACAGTTACCGGCTGTGCAAAAGTCAATTATTCCCTGTGTTTGTCATGCTGTGATGTGACTGATGAGCAGTGTCAGTGACTGGCCAACATACATGAAGGGCTGTGACACTTTTGAGGGCTGAAGGAAGAAAATGAACAGCAGATCTGAAAATCTCAAACTTCAGAGGACAAATGACAGAATATGTGACAGCATAAAACGCATCCCTGTTGGTAAATATGGCTTAACTTTGACATTTCAAAGCAAAGCTCAATCCAGCATGTACACATGCCAGATGATGCAGAGGCAGTATTGACCTACACAGTTAGACTGTGCATCATTTCATGGAGCTGCTGGCATTACAACTTGTAAGTGGACTTCAGAGAGAGTCTCTGATAATGTCAGATTATAGAAGGGACCCCAGCAAGAATCTGCTCTGAGAGACAATTCACTGGCAACGAGAACATCCTACAGTCACTGAATTATTCAAGGCTTGCTGCAAACCCAGAGAAATAAAACATTCTCACGCTGTGTGCACGGGGGAGCACTGACTCCAATAAGACCTTATCACGAGTTTGTTCACCCCAAGGAACCAGACTGACTAAAGGCAGATAATACATACAGTACAGTAGGTCTGTGTTTAATCTATGTCCTGCTGTATGTTGAGCTGCTGTGGTGGATTGTGTCCACTCTTGGCAGCTACACACCCATTGTTGCAGCATGCAGTCCTCTGTTGGAGATTCACTTTGCAGGAGAGTAATATGCAATAAAATAAAACTAATTGCTATGATAATTATTCCAGGATGGGATATTGCCTCTTGATCAGCGCCACAACATGTACGCTGTCTGCTGGGAACACCAGCTGCCACCTCCATCCTTGTGAATCTTTCATTGCAGACTTGTGATGTCTTTTTGTACACGATTCACTCGTGTTGCTGACTTCTCTTTTACCCTCTTGTGTACTGAAGTTAGAGTCCCATAAATAAGACATTACACATAGGAAAACTTAGGAGATTCAGCTGCAGCTCATGTCAGTGATGGATTTATCTGTCTATAAAGAGCCACGGACAAGACAAGAGTACGTTGCTTCAAATGAATAATTCAATAAAAATCAATGGCAGGCTCCATCTACCTCCACACTCCACTGCCCTTACCTTTATTCTGCTCAGACAAAGTTTTAATGGTACTTCGGTGTTCATCAGGATAATTGGCACTCTCACAAGTAGGAGAACAGATTTAAATTTCTATTAGATCATTATGCTGTGACCTGTCCAGTGTTGGACTGTTTTCTAGACAAAAGAGAGAAATTTTGCTTAATTACCACTCAGTGTCTGCCTTCAAAGCCTGAGGAATTATTGAGTCTCTTGTCATATAAAAGTATATCAGCTTGTTTCTCTAGGGGCACTTGAACTTTGATAATAGCATCTCAGGCAAGTACAGGCAGTATATTATTTATAATCACTTTGATCAAATCCCTAAAGCCATGTTACACTGCATTACAACAACCCACTAAATCCAAACTGCTTCACAGCCGGAGAGTGCTGGCATGATTGATAAAATATTAAAATTCACACACACACACACACACACACACACACACACACTTAGCCAACTTTATAGTAATGCATTATCATTCTAACAATCAATATTATTGTCAAATTAATTGTTATATTGTGCTAGGATTAATATGAAGAAATGAGGCTATAAGTGAGTCTCTAGTGGTATCTGATCTAGTGTGATTCATCTTTTAGATGTGTCCATCAGCATCAGGCAGTTGGAGGTGCCTGTGGTGAAAGTAGCTTAAATGTCCGTCACCATAGTAATGAACAATTCTGCACTTCCAGGCTGCGCTATCTAGCAAATAATGACAACATGGAGACTGAAGTTAAAAATATTTTGTCTGCTCAGTTTCAGCACAAACCGTCAACCATATTTCACATTAATCTTAAAGCCCCCCTCCAGTCAACAATCAGGTTTTCTTCCTTTTCCTACAGTGGAAGTTTCTCTGAGTTCATTAGAAGTCAGTCCTGGTCCTGTATCAACTTGTACAGTGTGGAAATTAGACTTTTGTGGAAGAAACATATCAGACACAGATCAGATATATATGGGATCTCTAAATTGCCTATTTCTCAAAATCAATTAATTTTCCATTTTATGTTGATTACAGTAACAGTGATCATCCATAATCAGGTTACTGAACTCTTATGATGAGTAATCCATGAGTGGAAGCCTTTAGTTGAGAGGCTGTGTTGTTTTGACTTTAATATAGCAAAAGCAGCATCTTTTTTATCCCATCTTATGTGATTATTCAAGTATAAACACTGTCATTAGTGGCTGCTGTCGTGCTGTTTGGGTTGCATTGTGGTCTGGAGACTTACTCCTCCTCGGTTTAAGTCTCAGGTTCTTAGACAAAACTTTAATTAGACTCTCAGCCAACTGTGAGCAGTTGCCAAGATATGTCACTTCCACTTTTCAGATTTTCAGCAAAAGATAATGATTTTCTTCTGTACCCATTTACCTGTTCATTTCACACCAGGAGATGCACCTACACAGCACCCTGGTGGCTCAGGGGGCAATAACCATGCATACTGTGCAAGTATATGGGTATCAAGTTTTGAGTGGCTGAAACACAGTAATCCAATCCAATCCACTTTATTTATATAGCACGATTTTAACAAACACAAGGTTTCCAAAGTGCTGCACAAAAAGATTCAGTACATGAAGCACAGTAGACTAAATAAGGGGGTTGGCTGTAAATTAAAATCAGACTGTACACTACCAAATATATGTGTCTGGATCACCTGCAAAATATGCCTCAACATACATTTATGATTTCTGACTTCAGTTTCTAATCTACTTTGTTCTCAAGAGTTTGTCCCCATATGTGAAAGCACTGGGGTGTGAGGGTGTCACTGTCAGTCAGTCATAGTCAAATCACTTTGGTCATATAGAGCGTGAGCAGCAGTGCAGCATGCAGGGGCCAGTAGCAGGGCTTTTAGAATTTTATTAGACTGCTTGTTTGTTTATCTTCTGACCAATGCAAGTTTAAAGTGGTGACTTTCCAACACCAACTAATTAAATAAGCACTTCAAGAAGGGCTTTTCATATGCACCTTGGTCTCATATCAGGTTAACTGAGAATATTGTAAAATATCCAGTTATTAAAGCATAATTCAGTAATGGTATTAAAAAAATGAGCTGTCAAAATAAACAGTGTAAATAACTGTAACCAGATTATCTAAACCACTGTATTTGGAGTTCAAACTAAAAGGGCGGGAGCTGGAATGGGACTGTTATTGCCCTGTAAGGGTGAGCAGCCATTTTCTTTTGCACTGTTTCGTCTTGTTGTGCTGGGAGTTGGGATTAGTGAATCTTTGTTTCACCCAGATTTACTCAGCACTTCATGTATGGGTACATTCTTTTGTTTGATGTTTTGGTCTCTATTCGCCCTGAATTATTTTGTTTCAATTTATTGTCACAATAGACCTTTTCACAGCAGCCATCTTGACATGAAATAGTAGGGTAAACACAGGTGTTACCAGTGACACTAGTTAAATTCCGTTCCATTCAGGTCTAACGGAGTCAGGGTGCACGTTGGCTCACTGGAAAGGCTCTGCTACACTAAATTGAACGGAGCGGAGCCTTGGTAACACCTGTTTACCATTATATGTCAAAATGACTGCACATGAATTTGTGGGTTAATAAATAATAACTGATAGAAATATAGACAAAACCACTAAATTAAGACTGATGTAATGAAGTGGATTTATCGCTTCATTGTCAGATATCTGACATTGTAGAATCTCCCATTCCGATAGTATAACTGACAGCTATTAGAAAGAATTTGGTGTCAAATTCGTACAAAAGCTTAGTGGACAGCCCCAGCCTGTTAAAAGCTATCAAAAACACCCCAGCGGGAAATATGATTTTCTTGTATATTCTCGGTTATTCTGTTGCAGGTTAATTGCAGCACACTGTGCTTAAGTGCTGCTTGACATTAGATGTTGTAGGATTTGACTGGCCTTCTGAATGTAAAGTCATTTTTATGCCAGTGAGACACTTTCTGTATGTTGGTGGGGGGCTGTGCAGCACATTGATAATTAAATGGCAATTGCTTAGTCATCTGTATAAAATCTGTTTGAAGATAGCCATAGGCAGGGATATTAAAGGGATACCCTGTTTTACTGACAACCTGTCCTTCAATCAATGCATCAGTATTTAAGTGGTCTCTTGCTGTGTTCACCTACCTCATACTTTAATTACAGTGAGAGTGGTGGCTATGGTGGCTACTTGGCAAAGCCATTTGTTTCATCATCCAAAGTGGACCAGAGCCCTTTTTTATTAAACTAATGAGATAAGAGTGTTAAAAGTTGCTGATCAGTGTAAAAAAGACAGTAAGTTGAGTTGAGGAAAAGTGGTTGGGGATAGATTTTCCTTAAAACTCAATTTTGCTGACTTAAGACTGATAAAGTGATTGAGATCCGGACCAAAGTGATGATTAGAAAGAAAAGCCTCTGCTACTCCT